AGCTCCCGTGCCGGAATGGCGCGGTGAGCGTACCGACTTGGAGTACGTGCGGATCCGGCACCTGGCGGCAACCACCATGGAAGCCACGGTGGACAGCGCACTGTCGTCGGTGATGGACGCTGATAAGTGCTTCGACTACGCCGCGGTGCGGAACCTGGCAGAGCGCAAGCCGCCCGAAATTCCTCTGTTGGACCCTGTCCGGCTAGCCAGACCCCAAAGCCTACGACCGCCTGCTCCCGGTCAGCCTGGCGGCGGCGGCGCTGTGCGGATGACGATCGCCGACACCAGCGTCATGCAGGAACGCATCCGCCACCTGTGTCACCATTTCAAGCTGTCGACGGTAGCTGCGGAGAAGGTGGCCCGTTTCACCGCGGCCGGCCACGGCGACGCCCTGCCCACCTTCATCAAGGTCCTGTAACAGGAGGCTGAGGATAGATACCACCGCCGTAGGCCGGGAAACTCCTCGTCGCGAAACCCAACCTGGACCTGCCCGGCAAGCTGCGCAAGCTGGGAAACTTCGACTTCCTCCTCCTGACCTGAGGCTACCTGCCTCAGGAAACCGTGGGCCGCGGCATCGACTCCCGCGTCGCCGGAATCGCCCCTCCCCAAGACGTTTCAACTCGCTACCGGTCCGCCAACGGTTGCGGGCTCCAACACCCCCTCGAAATCCCACCTTTCCATCACCATCAACGATTCTTCCACCACCACCTACGGAATCAAGTTCAAATTTCTATACAACCCCAAGGGGCACTCGACCATTCCAACAAACCTCTGCCGCTTCTATTGGACAAAATCGACCATGTCTCAGCCCAAAAAGTGACTTTCGGCCAACTGTCGCAATCTGCTACCCTGCCGGGCCAAAAACCGGCTGACTGACCAGTTTTCGTCGATTTTTCTTCTGCCGATACAGGACGCCCAAGTACCCACTTTAGCCATTTTCGCTCAACAAACGGTCACTCAGTCGATTTCGCGGGTACATAATCTTAATCAACGTCGTATCACCGACGCCGCCGCGACACCAACCCCAACTGGGACGACACGGGATCAGACCCACATGGCCAACAGCAGACGCAACACCGAAAACACCGAATACAACGTACCGGCGCCGGCTGAGCACTCCAACCAGGAGGCCACCAACTACAACCCCAACGCCGGAAACCAGGAACAGCTCCTCACCGAATTCCAGGACAACCTTGCCAAGATCAACGGCAAGGTCGCACTGGAATGGGAAAATCGCAAGGACGTGGGCAACGAGCCCCTGGAAAGCCAACACCGAATACACCAAGGACGAGATCCGCGCCCTGCGCGACCTCAACTTCACCGACGCTGAAAAAACTCAGTTCCAGGAGGACTGGGCAAGGGAGAAACTCGCCTCCCAATTCCAACTCATCGAAAACCTGGCAGCAGATGGCTGGGAGCATCAGTTCGTCACAGACAAGGAACTGGAAGCGCTCCGCGCCGACCCCAACATTGAGGTCATACTCATCAGCGACCTCCAAACCGCCGCCGGCTCCACCAACGATGCAGACCTGGTACACCTGTACGAAACCGACCGCAAGCTCCTGGATGACACTCTCAAGCGGCTGGGCGACACCGACTACGACACCCTGCACAAGGTCTACACCACCCAAAACGAACAGCACACCGAGAACTACCGCAACGCACAAACCAAGATGCAGAGCTACTTGGACCAGATCGTAAACGCGATGAACCTCGAAAGAGAAAAAAAGGAATCAGACGACGACTACGAAGAGCGCACCGCCAAAGCCACCAACGGCGTAGTCGCCGAGGCGACAAAGTTCACCAACACCTACCAGGCGGGGTACGTCCCAGCCGATGTGGACGTTCCCGACCCACCAGAGGTCCTGCTATACCAGGTGAGTAACTCCAGGGAGCCTTGGCCACCCCCTGCAACGTTTTTCCCCGCTTACGACCCTGCCCAAGTTCGGCGTCGCCAGCACAAATCCGTTTTTCCGACAACAAATGGTTCCCCTCTGGACTTTATGGGGGCAGTTTCTGATAATTTGACCGAGCGGCAACGCCGCTACATCGACACCGCACATTCATCGCCATGACCACCCATTCTACGCTCAAAACATTAGTTTCCTACACGATCCAGGTTTTCCGACGTTGCGCCGGCTCACAGGTGGATCAGGATAATTCAGGCAGTTCAGCAGCTGAATTGGTACCAGAACCAACCCCTGCGCCTGTCCTGCCCGGCTTCCTCGGAGAAGCCTTCAGCGTCGCTCCGTCGCATTCAGCGATGGGCGCCGTTCCGGCATTCCGAAGTGCATGCCGCCGTCGCTTGCGCCAAATCCGGGTGGTGGATTGTCGACTGCATCCGTTACCCGCTGTGCACTTCGCTCCCGCTTTAGCTTCCGAACCCGGTTCCGCCAGGCTGACGCGTGCGGAAACACCGCCCCGGCAGGCACATTGGTTGCCCCCGGCATCCCGGGTGGCAACAGCCCAGCCACTCCCGTATTCGCCGGCATAGTGCGCGATAAGTTCCCCGGCAACCCGAGCATCGGCCAGCACAATCCTGATGCGTTGTGCAACCACGCTCATCGTCAAACCCCTGATGCGCGACACACTTACAGCTATCCGGGTGCCTCTGCCATCCCACCGCCGGCGCACTGCGTGGGAGATCCGGCTACCGGTTCGACAGAGGACCCCTCTTCAACCGTGCCCTTCGTGTCAGGAAGAGGCTTGCCCAGTTGCACCCAACACCGGCTCGTTTGTATTCTCCGGAGAGCCGCCGTCGATCCCATCGCCCTCCCCGCCGCACGCAGATAACTTTCGAACCATCCGCTGAGGTTTCCGCCGTGCTCACCTGTGGCAGCCCCGAAGCCGGCATGATTGTACCCGCGGTGTCACCACCGGAAAACGCCCCAAATGAACTGGGTCGCCGTCCCCGAATCCGACCCAACTTCATGCGGTTTGGGGGCTGCAGCAACCTGCAGGCGGCCGTAAGCCATGCGGATTGGGGAGGCGTGGATCAATCAAATCGCCGTATTCACATCAGCAACGGCGCGGGGGATGACCATTGCTCCAACAAATCGCTGCCACGACACGCAATGGATTGGCGGTAAACCGGTGTCCAGACCGGCACCACGTCCCCATCGACCCGACATCAGACAACCTGCGCACCGAGCCGATACCGCCTCATTGGCTTCGCGCGGGCGGCGTTCCAACAGGAGCAACGTGGGCGACAGCCATCGTTTGCGGCAGATTAGGTCGCTGCGCCATTTGCCGCACGGCCCAGTCAGCACCAGGTTGGGTTCCATCGATGGCTGGCCACCTTGGATAGGATGACGAGCCCGCTGGCGGATCCCGTAACATAGAACCGTGCCCAGCAGCGAGAAACACGACCAACGCAACGCGAAGATCCTGGAATTCATCCGCCGGTACATCGCGGACAACCGGCTGGCTCCTTCTGTCCTAGATATCCAGCGCGGTGGCCATATAACCAGTTCGTCCACGGTGCACCGGCACCTGGAGGAGTTGGTCCAGCTAGGACTGATCAACCGCCGCCGCAACGTGGCCCGGGGAATCACGCGGGCGGACTGAACCCGTGACCGCTGCGGAAGTTGGCGATCACCCGGTACCCGTCAGCCATGCCATGAGATTTGCGACAGGAAGAGCGCCCTCCGTGTCATGGTTATTGTTGCTCCACGCCGAGCACACGCCGACACCACCGATCTCCGGTGGATGGAATCTGGTGCGGAAAATCATACATACGTGCTAAAATATAACATGGTCACCACCATTGCCCCGCAGCGTTACCCATGACCCGCGCTGCCTCCGGAATCCGAACCAGTCTCCCATGCTGGCGACCCGCCTCCCATGGATTCGTACACCGCACCACTTCGACCGGGCGGCACAGATCCGGATGGGGCGAATTGCCACCATGAGCGGGCGCCAACCATTCGCGAACCTTCTCAAAGACTTCACACCCGAACGCCTGGCGCGTGTCAAAGCGCTGGCGCGTGAGATGTTGTCCCAGATCGAGGCGGACCGTTCCCGCCGCGACCAGCGTCCAACCCAACCCGAGGAGCGCGGCCGACTCCGCGAGTAACCGGACTTGCCCAACTCCCATTCCCTTCGCTTGAACTGACCGGCAGCAGGTGGCGCACCGTCCTCCCTCGGGATCCAAATCCCTACGGCCCCGACGGTCAGGACGATTCGCAAACCACCGGATTCTCACTGCAGGGAAGGATCCGCGCTATGACAACCCTCCACGAACTCATCGCGGAACTGCCAGAGATAGCCGCCACCGCATAGAAGATCGTACCCGCGAACTTCTGGCAGAGGCAACCGCGCTACAACAGCCCCACGGCGACCAGCAGGTAACCGACGACGTTTGCGATCAACTGCCCGGTTGCGTGTAAACGGCGGCGGTAAAGTGGGCCACGTGGGCAGGTCGATCGTTGGGTTGCGGCTGTCGACGTTCAGGAAAACTGTACCACCGGCGGAATGCCTGACGGCTCTGACAGGAAGGACGGTACGGCTATGGAGATGGTGGTAAGGCCGGCGTTGGCGGGGAGCTAATCGGCGGCTGGCCGGTCCGACGCTGGCGCTAACGCGCCGGCGCTGTGCCGGATGCCCTTGAGGCGGTAGCTCTCGCCGTTCATCTCCAGGATGTGCACGTGGTGGGTGAAGCGATCCAGCAGCGCGCCGGTGAGTCTTTCGGACCCGAAGACCTCGGTCCACTCGTCGAAGGGGAGGTTGGTGGTGACCAGGACGGAGCCCCGTTCGTAGCGTTGGCTGAAAACCTCGAAGAGCAGTTCCGCCCCGGTGGTGGACAGGGGTACGAAGCCCAATTCGTCAAGCTCCGGGACCATCGCTGCCGAACCACCATAATGGAAGCAGATTGCCACATTGCCGACCAACGCTTCCCAACGGTGATTTCGTCAGGTGATTTACGGTGGATTTTGCTGGAGCGCGCTATGCTCGGTAAATTTGTGTCGGCAAAATGTCGGCAAACCCTCCAGGAAGCCCATTTATGGATACACCGCAAGCGCATCCAGCGACATTGCTTCCGGAAATCCGCACATCAGGTTCATGTTTTGCACCGCCTGACCGGCCGCCCCTTTCACCAGATTATCCAGACAGCTGATTACGATGAGCCGGTTCGTACGCGAGTCGACCACCGGATGAACCAGACAGTAGTTGTTGCCCAGGGTTTGCTTGGTTTGCGGCGGCGTATCGGTGACCTGAACGAAGGCGTTGTCAGCGTAGAAATCTTTGTACATCTGCCGAACCCGCTCCGACGCATCCGCAGATTGCGCGATGTCGGGACGAAGCGGAGCGTAGCAGGAACTCAGGATCCCGCGGGTCATGGGGATCAGGTGGGTCAGGAACGTCAGGTTAACGGGCTGATCCGCCACCGCGTCCAGTTCCTGACTGATCTCTGGTAGATGGCGATGTCCGTTGACGGAATAAGCCATCACGTTTTCGTTCACTTCCGAAAAGTGCGTGGTCATGCTCAAACTGCGGCCAGCGCCCGAAACACCCGATTTACTATCGACGATGATGTCACCGCCGATCCAACCGTTCTGCACCGCCGGCGTTAGCGCGAGAATGGCCGAGGTGGGATAACATCCAGGATTAGCCACCAGCCGCGCGTCGGAAACGGCATCCCGGTTCAATTCGGTCAGACCGTAAACGGCTTCCTCAAGATACGTAGGGTCGGGATGTTCGACTCCATACCACTGGGTGTAAACATCGGCCTGCTTGAGCCTGAAGTCCGCCGATATATCCACTACCTTTATGTTCTGCTCCAACAGCGGGATGCAGGCTTCAGCGCTTGCCTTGTGAGGCAATGCCGAGAACACCAGATCGAGACCGTCGCACAAGTCAGCGGTGATCTCCAGTTTCATGTTGTCCAGGTGAGGAAACACTTGACCCAATGGTTGCCCGGCGGCGCTGCGCCCGGTCACGGACGCTATCTCCACCTCCGGGTGATGGCGCAATATACGCACCAGTTCACATCCGGCATATCCGGTCACGTTGATGATTCCTACTTTCACGGTTCCAGCTCCTTAACGGCTTGAGTATGTGGTACAGGCGTAGCGGACTTGTCGTTCCGTCGCCTGCGTCCCGGAGCCTGGCCATCTGGACGATCATTGTCTGCTGTAGTAGTCGACCCATCGCCGGATTCGACGGCGGCCCGCACGGCTGCCTCATCTCGGGCGGGGCAACCGTAATTCACCACGCATTCCCCGCACAACGGACGCTGTGCCTTGCACACCTGCCGCCCGTGGGTGATAAACGCGGCATGAAAAGGATACACATCCTCCGGAGGCATCGCCGCTTCCAGTATTTCGTGGGCTTTGTCAGCGCTCACTTTCGGGCCGATTATGCCCAACCGTTGGCTAACCCGATAGATGTGCGTATCCACCGCCATCGCCGGCATCCCCAGCGAAAAACTCAACACTATACCCGCTGATTTGGGACCAATACCCGGCAGTTGCCGCAGCCAGGTTCGAGCATCGCCCATCGGCATCTCCGCCAAAAAATGCAAGTCCAGCGATCCTTCGTTCAACTCGAGAATTTGGTTCAGCACCCTGCTTATGCGCGGGGCTTTGATTTTCGCCAGTCCACCACCGGCAATCGCTTCCTCAATGTCTTCTACAGATGCCTCGGCTACGGCGTACAGGGTGCCAAAGCGATGCATCAGGCTTCGGAACGCCCGCTCCGAATTCCGGTCGGACGTGTGCTGAGACAGGATCGTGAAAACCAGTTCATGAGCTGGGTCGAGGCGGGGTTCGTTTTCGAACGGTCCGTGCTGTTCCGTCAGCAGGCGGATCGCATCAGCCACGGTTACGCCAAGTTTTTTGGCGCGGCGAGTGCGGCGCGGTTTGGCGGCGGTTTTCGGAGGCATTTGCAATCCCAATCAGTACCGGGATTTTAGCATACAGCAACCGGCCACGCCCGCATCAGGGGGCCTGGGTTCGCGCCGGCGCGGTCGATTGGGGTGTTGGTGGCGAGGGGCGCGTGATCAGGGGGGTCAGGAACAGGGCGGGCAGTGAAATCGCAATGCACGCCAGGGCGCTCAGCGTGACGGACATTCGGATACCGATCAAATCTCCCAACCAACCCATCAGCAGGACGCCCGGCGGGGTACCGATGCCGATACACAGGCTCTGCAAGCCAACCATACGACCCCGCATCTCGGGCGGCGACGAGCGCATGGTGATGGCGCCCTGCATGGTACCAAAACAGGAGAGGCCGATTCCGCTGAGAATCAGAATGACAAAAGTAACCGCGTACCAGGGAGACCAGACAAATACTGTTGATAACACATCACGGTGAAAGCGCCGGCGGCGAAAAAGCGTCCGTGATACCGCATGGTACCAATGGAGGCAAGTATGCCGGCCATGGCCAACTGGCCCAGAGCTTCCGCGGCCGCAAGGGCGCCCACCAGGGTCTCACCGACGCGCAGGTGATCTCGCCCTATGGCCGGCACAAATTGACGTGCCGGAAAGGCCAGGCCGTTAATCATTATGGTGATGAAGAGCATCCCCAACAGTTGACGATGGCCCAGGGCCGCGCGCACCACGTTGCCCAGGCTGTTCCAGATGGGTTCCACGCGCCATTCCCGTTCCACCAGAGGAATCCGCACCCGGATTACCAACGCCATAGCGGCCACGTGCAACACTACAATCACGGCATAAGCCCAAGTGTAACCGGCATAGTGAGGCCAAAAGTATCCGACGTGTTCGACGAAGAAGCCACCGAAGAAGGGGCCTACCATCCTCCCAACGGTTCCGCTGATGGAGTCAATTGACAGGGCGTTAACCACGCGTCGCTCGCCAACGATGTCAAAGACGGCGGTACGGCGAGCCGGGTCTTCCAGGGCGCGACTGATGCCCTGCAGCAGCATGGCGGTAAAAACATGCCACGGCGCAATCTGGCCGGACCACAGCAACACGAACAACGCCACCCCCCCGGCAAACTTGATGGCCAGCGCAATAACCCAGATTTTCTTACGGTCAAAACGGTCGGCAATCACTCCGGTGAAGGGTGAAATTATGGGCCTGGGCAGGTTTTCAAACGCCAGCACCAGCCCAAGCATCAGCGCAGAATCAGTCAGGGAATAAACCAGTACGCTGGTAACCAGAAGTTCCATCCAGCGCGTGAGTTCTGCTACGTTGACCACATACCATATCGCTCGAAAAAGGGGGTTCCGCAAAACCTCCATTAACGGCGATGGCGAACGGCCCCCGCGAAATGCCAACTAAGCCCCCAAGCGTCTAAAATGCCCCAACAGTGTAAACGCTGTGTGAAGGGGTTTCTATATCCCGAGCATCAGGATATGGCTCAATTGCCTGGCGAGTCGGGCCATCAGTCCGAATGCCGGTGGATCAGTGCCCGCGTTCACCACGCAAAACCGGTGGACTCCGCCGCCGCGCCGTACAGGACAATGAATACCCGTACGATATAATGCGTCGAAATATTTGACGGCTGGGCTGCGGCTGATCGCCGCCCATGCCGCGAATGCAGGACCTCAGATAATCGCCCGATCGCATCCGAATCGCCGCCCACCTTGTCTGGAGATACCGCCGCGATGCTGGCACAGCCGCAAAGTGAACTGCGCTTGCAGCGTCCCTTCGTGATTTGGCTCACGGGATTGTCCGGAGCCGGCAAAAGCACGCTGGCCGGTTGGGTTTCCGCCGAGCTACGCCAAAAAGGATTCGGCACCTACATACTCGATGGCGACGATCTCCGGCACGGGCTGAACAACGACCTGGGATTTAGCGCCGCTGATCGGAAGGAGAACGTGCGTCGGCTCGCTCACGTTGCAACCCTTATGTACGACGCGGGTCTCATTATCCTCGTGGCCTGTATTTCCCCATTCCAGTCCGAACGCGACTTTGCCCGTGGTATGTTGCCGTGCGGCAGGTTCGTGGAGGTGTTTGTGGACACTCCGCTGTCGCTATGCGAGAAACGGGATACCAAGGGGTTGTACCGCCGGGCGCGCGCCGGAGAAATCTCCGAATTTACCGGCATCGACTCTCCCTACGAACGCCCCGTCGACGCGGAAATCATCGTTGACACCACCGGCCGTTCGGTCTCCGACTCCGGTTCCGAAGTACTCGATTTCTTGATCCAAAGGCAGCTGTTGAAGTGGCCGGTTCACGGGTGACCCAGGAGTCTGCAAAGCCACCGCCGTCGCGTCCCGCCAACCGAAGCGGCTACAACCCGGGGGCCGGGAACCAATCCGGCGCCTTCGCCTCCGGTTTCAACAACTTCCTGGCCACGGGGCGGGTTTCGCTGGCGCTGGCGCTGGCAATTCGCTACGGTGTCGACCGGGAGTACCTGCCGCGATTCCTGGGCGTTTTGACCGCCGACGCAATATTTTCGCCAATGCGGTTCTGGCAAAGTGTCACCTACGGGCGCAGGATCAAACATGCCGAGCTGCATCCTGAACCGCTTTTCCTTCTCGGATTCTGGCGTTCCGGCACCACCCTGCTGCACAACCTTCTTGCCGTAGATCAGCGTTGGGGATACGTCAACACCTATCAGGCCGCCATGCCCGACCTTTTCCTTGCCGGTCAGCGGTGGGTCCGGCGTCTGCTGGCATCGAAACTCCCCGAGAACCGCGGCATCGACAACATCCCCGTAGATTTCGCGATGCCCCAGGAAGAAGAGATCGCCATGATGTGCACCTGTGGTCTCAGCCCTTATGTTTTTCTTCACTTTCCCCGCACCGCCAGCAAGATGCTCGACTACCTGTTCGTGGGCGATCGATTGGACAATTCCCAATCCCAGCGTTGGCGCAGGAAATACCTGGGACTGCTGAAAGCGGCCAGCTATAACATGGGAGGCAAACCGCTGCTGCTCAAGTCGCCCTCCAATACCAGCCGGGTGTCGACTTTGTTGGAGCTGTTTCCCAACGCGCGGTTTGTATATATCCAGCGCAACCCATACGACACGCTGCGTCTTACAGGCACTGTTGACGCGGGAGGAAAGATCTGGAACGAACGCGTTGAGAGGGGGACGGCGACGAACAGTGGAGCCAAAAGGAGGGTAGGGACAGAAAGAAAGAGGCCAAAAAAAC